TTATGCTATGGCTTGTATCCAGCGATGTGCAAATTGAAACATAAACTTAGCAACACCTGGTGCTTTTCTCCGTGTGCATTTCAGTGCTCAGAAATCAGTTGCATATGGTCTTGCACATGTGTAAACATGTGGGGGTATAGTGATTGACACTGCAAGCAACTACTGCAGTCTTTTTCTTGCATTTCTGCTTGTGCCAAGAGCTCTAGTGCAGGCAGACATTTTGTACTGGATCCAACCCATTATCTACAGTAAGCAGAGCTTGGATTGATGAACAGACGTTTTCCTAACAGAAATCAAGGAAACCACAGAAGCAGAAAGGGCCTGGGTAGGCGAGGCTCGCCATTTGTGGGGCCGGGCGGGGGAGGAAGAGGCTGCCCAGTCGCTGAGTCGGGAAGGAGTGGGGCCGGGCGAGTGGCAGGAAGGTAGGCACCTCCCCTCCCTCCCCGGGCCAATGGCCGGGCAGTGGGGTGGTCTGAAGAAGAAGCCTGGTATAAATGACTCAGGCCACTTGCCATTCCCCCCCCCCCACAAGGACTTGGGGCTGGAGACAGCCATACACATCACTTGGATGGCCCAGCGGGGTATGCGGTGGAGATCGTTACTTCCTTGGTTGGGCCGTGTTGGGGCCTGACATCGACTCCCTGGTGCGTTGGTGGTGCAACTGGGGGAGAACGATTTGACGGAACAACCCAGTGCGTGTCTGGACTGCCAGGTGCTGGCTGACCTGGCCGTCTTGCCCAACACAGTCTTCTTTTGGTCGGATTGGCTGGAACGGAGGTCATGGCGAAGAGCGGCTCATCCTAGAAAGGTGGACGTGGCAAGGAGAAAGGTGTCTGGCAGACTGGGCAGGGCGGTTGAGTCCACAGGCGGTGTTTGGATCCGCCACCCAGACATCTCCCACAGGATGGAGGCCTTGTTCCGGGCAGATGGAGCGCACCTGTCAGTTTGGGGTATGGACATATGGCTACATGGGGTACGTTATTCTCTCCTCTCTTGGCTACAGCTGTAGAGGCGTTGGCGGGAGCAGGACCAAGGGGTTTGTCCAGCTCTTGTGGTGGTGACAGCATGGGGCCAGATCCGTTTGGCAGAAATTGGCCTGCGTGCCATTTTCCGGAGGTGGGAACCCCTGTAAGGGTCTTGGCGTGAGGGCTGAAGGGAGCAAGCAGTGCAAGGACTAGCAGCAATTGCCCTCACCACCAGGTGGCAGGGGAGTTCTCACAGGGGCAGGTGTCCAGGTGAACCCCGGCAACCTGCCATCCCGCGGTCTCTACCCATGCTGGCTGGCTGGGTAACGGATACCTCGGCTGGCGGAAGGGTCAGCCGACGGGTCGGATCCGGTGGACCTATGCTGAGCCAGTGCCTATAACAGCTGTAATCAATAAAGTTGTGGCCAATTTTATCCACATAACTTTCAAAGAAATGGTGTGTGAGTGGTCAATTCAAATGGGGCAGTATAAGACTGACCAAGCCTCTCCATCCCGAATACGACCTGGAACCGCAAATGATACAGTTGGTCCAAAGGTGGTTAGAGAGGGTCAAATCATTTCAAGATTCTTGGAAAGGATTTAAATAAGCAATAATGGAAGCTCCAATAGTGTATACTGTGGGTTAGGAGCCACCAAATCTAAGACGATGCTGGAGTGGTTAAGAAGTGAAATCAAGGAAGACATACAATGCAAAAAGCCTTCCTTTTAAAAGTCCAGGTCTTGCCCAAATGAGGTGAAGGAGAAGCAACACAGGTTTTGGCAAAACAAGTTGACAACCAGGCAGATATGCTAAAAACATTAAGATAAATGCTAAGAATCTCTTTATGTATATCAGGTGGGTAGCTGTGTTGGTCTATAGTGGAGAGTAAGATTCAAGTCCAGGAGCACTTTAAAGGCCATTGAGATTCCCAGGGTATCACATTTTGAGAGTCAAAGCTCCCTTCTGCTACTGGACTTGAATCTTGCTCTTTAACTATATCAGGAGTGGGAAGTCAGCCAGGGAGGATTGAAGACATTGTTAAAGAAAGTATGGGAGAATGCAGAGTTCTGGCTGAATTCTTTGCATCCATTTTCAGTGAGTCTCTCCCTGATAACTTTCCTCATCTTCTTCAAGCTTTTAGTCCTCACATTTAAGGATCTTTTTAAATCTCTTTTTTCCTTCTCTCATTATTATTATTACTAGGAATAAGGCCCGTTGTGGAAATAAATACAACAAGCTGTAGAAAGAGGCTCTGGGAGAGTGCCAAGGCCTTGGGCACTCAGCATCAATTTGCTGTGGTGACCTCCTCAAACCTCACCCTTTCCAGGCTCCACCCCTGAAATCCTCAGCAGTTTTCCAACCTGGAGTTGGCAACCCCATCCCCTTCCCAGCTAACCGTCAACCTACCATTATCTTCCCCTCTGACTGCAGCTGACTTCTGCCCTCCCTCCTGGAGATCAGTTGTATTTCTTGGTTGCCTACTGTGGTAAAACGGGCTCCAGTTTACAACTCAGCTGGATGGGCTGGAGTCTATATTGATACTGCTCTGCCCCTTGGGACAGTCCCTCTTTTCCTGTACTTTTTGGCGTTGGGGCAGCTGGAAACTGTAGGCCAGCAGATGAGGAACCCCCATTCAACCCAGTGAGTGTTACCCCCGCAGGCCCCTCTCTGGAACTACAGCTCAATTAAACCTTATGGGGGAACATTTTAAACAACCAACCACAGACGGCAGCCATCTTACAAACACAGGTAACTGCCATTTTGTTACACCTACCAACAGCCACTGAGGGAAGAGTTAGTCCCACACAGGACGCAAGCAGGAGAAGCGTCTTTGTCAAGAGAGAAAGCCGTTTGCCAGTAATTCTGACAGGGCACAGTGGCTGAAGGGGGAGTGGGCGGCGAAGAGGAGCAGACCCAGCACCCAGCCAATGGCACACGAGTACTCTTAGGTGGCGGCTTATGGGCCAATGGCCGAGGGAGGGCATGGAATGTTGCCACTTGAAAATAGGATTATTATATAGGAAAGATTATTGACCAATTAGCATCCATGGTGCTTTACAGTGTTGTGTAAGCTAAAACAGGTCTCTGTCCCATGAAGCCTAGCCTCTGGGGGTGTGAAGATTCAATTTAGTGGTTGTGGCCAATAGTCATTGATAGACTTATCCTTCATGAATTTGTATAATTCCCTTCTTAAATCAACTGAACTAGTGACCATCACTTCATCCAGCAAAGTTGTGTCTTTTCAGCAGGCATGAAAGGAGATGGAATTACTATCACATTTTTTTTGTGCTCCAAGAAGCTCAGGACAGCATGCATGGTTCTTTTTTTATTTTTAGGCTTGCAAATTCTTAGTGTGGTATATTAGGCTAACAGAGCATGGCTTGACCAAGATTATCCAGTAAGCGTCATGGCAAAATGGGGTTTTGAACATGGAGTCTCCCTGTTCCTAGTATGACACTGTAACCATTATGCTGTATTTGCTGCTGCAAAAGAGCCTGAGTGAGTAAAAAGATGTGTGTAAGTACTTACCCCAAGAATCATTCAGATTACAATACAGCAAGAGCCAGGGCTTTTAAAGAGACAATCAGGGAAGTGTATACTTATACCACTGTAAGTAGTATACCACTAGGTAGGCCAGGAAAGAGAGAATTTTTGTGTGCCAGCCAGCTTTCCAGGAGAGGCTGTCCAGGAGCTTGAGAAATGTCCTACAGCAAATGAGAATGAAGTGGAAGAAAAAAAGAAACAAAGACACTAACCCATGAGTATCTAGCAGGAATTAAACAGTGGACAGAACTACATAAAACTAAAACAAGAGAGGGGGAGAAGATTTGCAAACTAGGAGTGTGATCCTAAACAGAATTACACCCTTCTAAGCTTATGGACTCCCAGGGATTTATAAGGATGTAACTCTGGATCGGATTACACTGTAAACAACAGGCAAAAGAATCTGCATAAGAATGAGAACAGATCAGTGTTAACAATTCCCCCAGGTGAGCTTTTAAGAACAGAAACCACTAGCATCAAACTGGCTGATACAAGCCCAGTACAATTCAGTAGAAAGCCCTTACCTGGATAGCCCAGGGTAGCCCTATTTCATCAGATCTCAGAAGCTAAGTAGGGTCGGCTGTGGCTAGTATTTGGATGGGAGACCTCCAAGGAATACCAGGGTTGTGACATAGAGGCAGGCAATGGCAAGCCACCTCTGAATGTCTCTTGCCTTGAAAACCCTATGGGGTCATTGTAAGTCAGTTGTGACTTGACGGCAACAAGAACAACAATCCAGTAGAATTGTGAAGGGATAGTGAATTTGGTCAGTGACCATGGGGCCCGAGGAAAAGAAGGGAGAAATGAGCTGAGGAAAGCCTTGTGTGTTCCAAAAATCTCCTCTCCTTTCTCTGCCAGTAAAATCTTTTGACTACACCAGCCATATTCAGATGACACAAAAAGTGCACCTAATCAAACAGATGCTGTGATGTAAATTATAGCAACAGAATGAGCTGTCAGCCTCGGAAATAGTTTAAGCTCAGACATATATAAGCACTTGAGTTTGGAATGCAGAAACAGTCTTCTTTGAAAAACTGTATGAGTACCTATAATGCTAGGCTAGCAAATAGGTGTGTTAAACATTTGTTAACCTGTTCTCCTTGTAATGAATAAAGACATTATCTTTGGCAGCATTAATAATGGACGACGCCAATACTGTAAAAGTGCCTTTAAAAAGAAGTCATTACAAAACTCAACTACTGTGCTGTTTTATTTTTTTTTTAAATAGCATCTTTATGTTTATAAGTATCAGGCAACAAAATTGTTTATGGCTTTATAAATAGCGCTGATTCTGTATTGGCAAATGCTTGTGGGCTCAATGTGCTTTCTGGAATATTTCAACATGAAATATATTACCTGGTGCATGACTTTAATATCAAGATAGACTATTACTAACATGGAAACTGATTGAGTAAGGAATGGAAGAAATTATTGTACAGGAACATTTGCAAGAAACTGACACCGTGGACTGTCTGTTTCTTTCTTTGCAGCATCTTTCTCTGAAAGCCAAAAGAACTAAAGTCGATGACCACTGACTCTCCACGGCTGTTGAGCTTCGCGCTGCGTGATGCTGAACCTGCTGCCGAATTGACACTGTGCTACAGACCCATCACACGATTAGTTAATTAGCAACCTGACCCCACATCAGATATACATGTCAAAATGCCTGCCTGCCAGGATCCTGTAGGGATTTATGCATGACCAAATACATTGTAACACTTAACGTAGAGCTTGCATTGTGGACATTTTATCCCTCAGTCTTAATTGTAACCATTCCTGTTTACCACGGGTCACCTTGGCTCCTTTTAAAACTAGGTAGAAAAATTAGCAGTACAAAAGGAGACATACAAAATGATAGGAAATCTTGCAGTTGCTTGGGTAACCACACTGAGCCCTTTGGGCTGGGGAAGTGGAGCTCAGGATCCTTTTAGACCACTGTGAAAGCTGCTGGCTATCCTTCGCCTGCCCGCAAACTGGAGACAGGTTTGGGACCACAAGCAAAGCCTTGAAATACCTTTAATGGGTTGCAACGAAAACCTTGAAACTGTGATTGTGCCTAACTGCTGTGATTTTATTTCACTTTTTATCGTCGTTGCTCTGAAGCAATAGAATTCTCATCTATTACCGACTTTCCTTGTCTTGCTCCTCTGCACCTTTTCTTTGGCTTTGCTTTTTAGACAGCATCTGTAATTTCCAAACACACCCGAATGTTTACTTACACTGAACTCCCCATGTAGTTCAAGCTATTTTAGGAAGGGGTTAATAGGGCAGGATATCTCTTGCGTTCACAACCAAGATTTATGCAAATCCCTAGTTCCTTGCCTTTTGTTTCAGAATAAGAACTAAGGGACTTGGGACCAGTCTTGCAGAGAAATATCCATACATGTCGAGTTTTAAAGCTATTTGGAGTCATGTTTCTTCAAAAGTTTCTGTGCTAGGTCTGGGATGGCCTTGCAAAAGTATTCATGATTACTATCAGTCATTTGACAGTCAAATGGGGGTGACTACACAGCAATAAAGAGAGAGGATACTTCCTTTAGATAACGGAAGGAGGACCAGTTCAAGGGAGAATTCTCTTTTCTCCAGATTTGGATGCAGGATGTTCAAGTGATGCCCTCCATTCGGAAGTAGGGCAGTGAACAACTCTAGACCTGAGGCCAATCGGGCCTTCAGTAAATGGTCTTCTCTTGTTTGACCAGACAAGAGGGTGTTCCTTACTCTGCTCATGCCATGTCAGTATAGGAAGGAATGGTGCTCAGTGAAATAGGATGGTGTTCCTGTGCTTGGAGGCCCCGTTCCTTGAGTGCCACCAGATGATGGGCGGCTCAAAACGTGGGAGTTTCTCTTGCCCTCCATTTAGATAGTGATATGGCCGCATAGAATAGGTGCAAGCAGATTCAGTTCTCTGCAAATAAATTAGCCCCATTTTTAAGGGGGGGGGGATGAGATTTCATCTAGTGAAATCCATCTGTCTGTGCTACTTATAGCCAGGTTTGGCTAATGCCAGAGTTGGGCTTCCATGAATCTGTGAAATATACGCACAAAATCCACCCACCTCTGTACACATTAAACAATGTTCTGCTCTTTGCAGCTATTTAGACTGCATCCCTCAAAAGGTGAAGAGTGGTCTGCGTCATATGCACTAATCGAACAGTGCACTGGTTGTCTTTCTGTGAAAGCTCTTCTCCTTCTTGTATCACCAACATAATTTTGGATAACTGTATCTTTATTTTCAGATGTTATTTTAGAATGATGTTATTTGAATATGTGTTTTTTTAAGATCACCACTTTTGTTGAATCCCTTGTCCCTTTTCATTTTTTAATGTATGTAAATGATGGCAATTTTTACACAGACCAGGGTCTTCCTTGCCCCGGATGTGCATTATGAGTCTCTCTTTCAGATCTTCTTTCCCATTCTGCTTCCCACAGATCTGCAAAGAAGCTTATTCTGTCAGTGTGTGGTCTGCGCAATAACTTTGTATTGTATATATCAGCAGCATAACGAAATATTCATTCCCATCTCTGGACTTCTGACGTGACTAGTTTTCTGTGTATCTTTCTCTCTGTCAGTATGTGAGCGATGGGGTTGTCTGTATTTTTGTGAACTGTGTGGTGTCCAGAATACTGTTGATGCTCCACAATGGGTATTTGACTTACAACTAGAACTGTTTTACCCTTTAGAGCTTATGGAGACCTGGATACAAAGATGTATAAACGTTCATGTCGCTTTGTCCTATGGTAACACACTTCAGAGAAAAATAAAGCTGTGGAATCAAGAAATTTTGGGAGTTTCTGCCTACTAACAAAAGTTGATTATTAACATTACTTACTATATGATGTATAGCTGTCATTGGTGCTAATAAGTTTCCTTGGAAGGTAACTCAGGAATAAATTATCTATAGACATTTCTTTCCTCAGATGGCATATATACTATACCAAGCCTAAGAGGATGCCAGTGTGGATAATCAGTAAAGTCAAGGAAACCATAAAAGCCAAGAAGGCTTGATTTAAATGGAGTGAACAAGGAACAGCACGAAGGCCCAAGCAACATCTGCAGCCTTCCAAAGAGGCATCCCATTAACTGATTTGCAGGGCAGCAACCTGGTTATCTGCAGACACATTTGTTAAACACTACTCTGTGGATGTTAATGCAAGAAAGGAGACATCAGTGGGCACAGCTCATCCCACCACCTGGTAACCCGGCTTGCTAGTCTCCCATGTGGGACTGGACAGAACAACAGTGATGAAAACAGTATTGTGCTGACCTGTAACTGTTGTTCATCTAGTTGTCTCTGTACAGGCACACATCCCTCCATCTTACCCCACTGTGAGCTATTCCTCTCTTGCAAAAAAAAAAAAAGATTTTATTTTGGCTCATAGTAGGGGCTCAGGAGAACTGAGGGAGTGTGCAGAGCTCCTCCCTGGAGCACATGACGGTTAGGTGGGGAAATGTCTCCAATATCTCCAGTTCGGAAAGGCTTCTCCTACTCTGTTAGTAAGCTAACTAGAAATCTAAATGGCTGGCCTATGTGCTTGTGCACTACCGCATGTGTGCCTACACAGATGAACAACACAGGTAAGTGCAACACTATTTTTCTGAATTCAGACCTGACTGAGAGCAGTTTAACACAGATGGAGAACTGAGGGAGGTTGGCTGGAGAAATGGGTAGTTAGAAGAAGACTCTCATTCAGGCCAGAAAAGGGAATAGGTCTTCTAGAGAGACAAGAAAATTCCCACCCAGTTGAAACAGGGCGATAGCTCATAAGAGTGGAGAGATCCCTGGCCTGGTGTGGTTAGAGACTTCCTTGTGTAATCTTAAGAGTCAGATAAAACTCAGAATACTGGTGTGTTTAGAGAAGGGGTTTGGGTACTGGACAGAGTGTCCCAGCCTTCTGGAAACCAAAAGAGTCAGTGAATGCTCAATGAAACTGTACTGGAATGTTTGGGAAACACCGGAACAAAAGCCTCTTATCTTAAAGATCCTAATTCACTGGAAAAAGCTTATGAAACTCTCAATAGCCTGACACACATGAACTAAAGTCTGTGCATATACTGATTTACTTCAGAACTCTATATTGAGTTACTTCAGAAATTTTACCCCTGATTTCATCTGACCTTTCCCTTCTATATTGAATAAAATATTTTGTTACTTTGGAATTTCGAAACACCTCAAGTGCCATTTAAGTTTACGCAAAAGGGGGCTCTTGATCAATGCTCCCTCTAAGCTGTGGAATCTTGCGAGCAAAAATTCTACTTTGTGAGCTACTGGCATTAAAGTTGTGAGCAAGCGATTTGTCTACTGTATAAATTAGTTTGCTCTGAAGCCATCCTTCCTGAGCGAAGCCAAAAATGTGTGAGCCAGAGGCTAAAAAACTGTGAGCTAGCTCACACTAACTCAGCTTAAAGGGAACACTGCTCTTGATCCTTTCCTCAGGTTCCTGGGCTGAGCTAACTGCCAAAATTTCGTAATGTGAAAGGGTGGGAAAGCCAGAGTTCTTCAGGAAAGAGGGCATCTCAGTCATAAAGGGAAAGCAAAATGCAGGGAAAATCTCACCTCTGATGGCGGGAAGTGGATGGAGCATCATATCCTCATTACAGGCTTTTTTGTCAATGGGATAAGAGGTCCTGCCATGTATGAGAAACAAGTTAAATAACAGGGGAGGGGGATAGCATGAGTAAGTGGGGTTGTCACAATCACCTTTTCAACAAAACTGAGAAAGGTGCCATGCTGGGATTGTATGGCAAGATGAGGGATTTTTTTTAGAAGTTAGCCACTGACCTCTGTCAAAACTTGCAGTTTGCTTATATGTGTGGCCCTTGGGTATATGCCAAGTTTGATACCATGTTCTATTCCTTTCTACTACATTGGCTCAAATTATCATTTAAAAAGGCAGTTTTGCTCCAGAGCAAGACAATGTACTGAACTGTGTACATCCCAAGAATGACCAGTTTCCCAGAATGCCTTGAATGTATGAAGGATAGGGTGTGCCTGTTCACATCCACTTCCAGATCATTTATGAACAAATTAAATAGTATTGCCCCCCCCCCCCTCCACTGCTTACTTTGCCTTGCATTCCAGGAGAGAAGTCTTGGGTGCCAAGTCCTTAGTCCATGTGCACGTTTTCTGATTTGGGGCATTGCCAGCATGCTGTAAAGTCTTTGTAATTCTACTAATCTTTGACATGGGAAGGTGTGTTGTGGAGAAAACTGTGCATCTCTTATGAACATTTATGTGAAGGGTTTTTAATGTCATGGGAAATGAGACATATACCCAGTAGAGTATCTGGAGCCTAACTGTAACTCCATTCTGTTTTTCCCCACACTGTATTACCAGGTTTCACTCTGTATGAAAGTCTTTGTTCAGAGGGCTGCCCACTAATACAGCTATGACGCCCCCCCTCTTCCGTCACTCAGAGGCACAATTTTCCCTCCATTTTTCTTTCCCTTTTGTGACTGAGATGCCCTAGTTGTCTGTTTTCTTCTTTCCTGAAGAATCCTGGCTGTCCCACCCTGTCATAGTATAATATTTTGGCTGTTTGCTCAGCCCAGGAGCCTGAGGGAAGGATTGGGAGTCCCCTTTAACTTATATGACTTAAATGGCACTTGAGAAGTTTTTATATTTTAAATTAACAAAATATTTTATTCAAGATAGAGACCAAAGGTCAGGTGAAATAGGGTAAATTTTCTGAGGTAAAATTATACATGCACAATACATGCACATGTTCTTATGTTTCAGGCTGATGAAAGTTACTTAAGCTATTCACAGTGACTTAAATCTTTATGTTGAGAGGCTTTTGTTCTAATGTTTTCTGAAAACGCTTCAGTACAATTACTTCAAGTATTCTCTGACTCTGACAGAAAGTGAAGAGGACCTTAAGGCCAGATAATGAAACTGAAGCTCAAATACTTTGGCCACCAAATGAGAAGGGAGCACTCACTGGAGAAGACCCTGATGCTGGGAAAGACTGAAGGTCACAGAAGATGGGGACGGCAAAGGATGAGATGGTTAGACAGTGTCATAGATGCAACGAACATAGTTGAGCAAACTTCAGAGGATGGCGGAAGACCGGAAGGCCTGGCGGGAGCTGGTCCATGGGGTCGCGAAGAGTCAGACTCGACTGTGCGACTGAACAACAAAAATTATCTGACTCTTTTAGTTTCCAGAAGGCTGGTACACTCTTGCCAGCACCCAAACCCTTTCTCTTGAAACACCAGTACTCGTCTTGAGTTTTTAACATAAGGTCTCTAAAGGCAGTTTCTAACCGCACCACACCA